TAGACCCAGTATTGCGTTGGATGAGGGCCAAGCTCACTGACCATGTCCCTCGGATTAGAGCCTACGCTGATGATCTCTCTTTCTGCCTTCCCAACATCCTGACTGACCTCCAGCCGACGCTCTCGCTCCTTCGTAGAGTTGGAGCATGCGGTGGGGCTTGGGTTGTACATTCCCAAATGTAAGGTATTGGTGATTGGCTCGCTTGATCCTGATAGATTAGTTGCCCACCTTCGAGCCAAGGGGAGTGAGTACCACCGCATCGGGTTTGTTCGCGCTGTTTTATACTTGGGATTCTGGCTCGGGCCTGGGGCTTTGGACAAAGTATGGAGCAACACCATCCCCAAGTTCTGGATGGCGGTTCGGAGGCTTCGTGGGCTTGGGCTGGGGCTTCCTCAGACCATTCGCCTTTTTCACTCGCACTGCATGTCGATTTTGGCGTACCAGTTACAACTCTGTCCAGTGACTACGGCTCTTCGGAAAGCGTATAATGAGGCCCTACAGGTGATTACTGCTGGTCCCCGCCATGCCTTCTCGAGGGAGATTGCTGACGGGCATGCGAGCGCTGGGGGCCTCTTTAGAATGCTTGGACATCGATTGTTTTTCGAAGGCTATCAAGTTTCGGGTGTTGATGTCTTGCTCCAGTATTGATGCTGTCCAGTATGAGATGGAGTCTTTGACGGTTTCCCTGGATGACGATAACTTCATTCCTGCTCGCCTGAGCTGGCCCTGGTGGAAGGACTCCTCACGATAGGAACCCATCCCGAGGAAGCGATAGCGCGTGAGATGACTACTGCTCAGATGGTTCAGACTTGGGGGGTCAGGTGCTTGCCCAGAGGATGCGTAAAGTTGAGAAGGACAGCGCGATGCACCTCGTCACGGGGGTCCTTAGAGTGCTCTGCCGAGGAGTCTGTACCTCTAGTCGTCTGCATACCACGGTGGTGGGCTGTGCGTTTGGGTGTCCTCTGGATGCGGCCGACGACGATCTGAGGCATTATCGCGTGTGCCCCAAGTTGAAGGCTGGGTTGATTGACATATTCCCCCGTGGTGGACTTCTGAGGTCTTGGACCGCGGCTCTAACGGGTGAGGATTGGCTCCTCACTCTCTGTTGTCTGGGGCCACAGTGGGGGCGGTCACGTGACCTAGTGGGGCGCGCCTTAATTGATTGCTTTCTGGCCGCGCATAATGCTCGCAGGACTGGCTCGGTCCAGCCGGGGGATTTTCTGATTAAAGCCAGGCTTCGGCAGTTGTCCCGTCGGCACCCCAGGCTTAATGAGGCGTTTCGTGTGCTGCGGTCGAATGCTGCTGCTGCCGCTCCTCCCCCTGCCCCCCCTGCTCCTCCTGCCGCGCCCCTCCTCTCCTGAGTTGGCCGTGTCCCCCCTTTTATTTGTCCCCCCCTTTTCCCTGTGGCCCCCTAGGTATAGGTCCATGCATGATGCTGTCAGAGTTTGATGTGACCCTGGTGGGTCTCTCGGGTTGGCTGTCTGGTTTTCCGAGGTTTTACTTTCTGTTGTGCTTTCCCTCCGCTCTGTTCGTCTCTTGGTTAATTCAGGGCCCCGTGTTGTCGCCTGGATTGTGGGCGCTTGCCAGTGCTCTTTGTGACCCTCTCCGCTTGCAGGTGAAGATGGCGAGGTGCAGCTTCGGGCGTTCTTTTGGGGGAGGCATGCTGACAGTTGGGTTGGGCGGCACGCGTGAGAGAGTGCCTCTCTTGCCGCGCCGCGCCCCCCAGCCTCTCTCCGCCGCCCGCCCCGCGGCCGCCCCGCCTCTCTTGCCTGCTCGCCTCTCTTGCTGTCCGTGAGCTACTGGTTCTCGGACGGGCGGGCGGTCTGGTTCGCTCGGCCGTTGATCGATCGTCGCTTCGGTAGGGTAGGCAGGCCTTCCCGCGACGCCAAGCCGTGGCGCATCCAGACACCCGTTGCGTCTGGCGCGGAGGAGGTCCTCCCCCTCCTCCGCGCCCTGCCGTCGCCCCCAGGCCCCCGACGAAGTTCGAGGCGCCCCGGCTGCCGCCCCGCGCGAGGGGGCGCCCCCTCTCGCCCTCAGGTCCCCGACGAAGTTCGCGGCACTGTGGAGGCCAGCTGTCAGATATTCCCTCGGTTTGCGTGTTGGGTTCTCGTTTTGGGGCGCGCCCCTTTTTGTCTGCTTCTGCCTGCTGCGCTGTTGGTTGGGCCCTCGGTCAGCCGAGGAGTGAGTGTGGCATGGGGCGGATGCTCGAGTGTGTGATCCCCTTTTGGACGGTGTGCCTTGGGGGGGCGCGCGCCCGCCAGGGGTCCTGCGCACTCGGAGCAGAGTGCCCGCCGCCGCTTCTCTCTGCCCTGCCTCTGCTGCTGCTCCTCCCCTTTCCTTTGCGTGACTGATTGCGCGGTGCCGAGTGCTCGCTGAGATGTTTAGAACGGACTTGACACATGGAATTGGTGTGTGCGCCTGCGGTGAAAACAAAACTCTTCCTCCTCCTCCTCCTACTCCTCCTCCTCCTCCTCCTCCTCCTCCTCCCCTTCCTCCTCCTCCTCCTCCTCCTGCCTCGGGGTTGCCAAGAATTGATCAGGATGAAGAGCTGGTCCCAGGGGGCTGCCCCGGGGCCCAAACGGTTTCCTGTGCCACTCCGAGGCTTTCTGCGCTCGGGGGCCCCCTCGTCGTCGCGCCCTGGCTCGGCTCGGCGGGGCGGGTCAGGGCGGACCCTCAGTCAGGACGGACCCTCGGAACAGATTTTCGGAAGGGTTCTGAGATCTTGGGCAACGTTAGGGGGGGGTGCTTCGAGGGGGGAGGGGCGCATCGACCCCCTCCATTTGGCGGCCATTCGTCGCCGATAAGGGCCCGATAGCCCACCCTCCCAGGACTACGCGGATTCGCTATCGGGGGCAGGTCACCGTCGGCGATTTATCGCCGATTCCAGGCCGATGTTTTCCCCCTGAGCTGGTTTCTCCCCATCTTTCCCGTTCGCAGATTCTGAGCAGATTGTGAGAGGTTCTGAACGAAGGGGCCTGTTTGCTTTTTACACCTTCCTCGCTCCTCGTCGTCACTGTGCGCCTCCTTGCAGTCGCGTGGAGGACTACATGTTCTGAGCACGGCTCTTCCCTTTCAGCCTCCGTCTTTCTGTTCACCGCTTCTTCGTGCCCAACTCGTTTCTGGCTCGTCCCTCCTGGTGCTCGACCGGCGTCTGATTTCTCGAGCGCCCGTTGACCACCAAAAAAAAGCTAGACCACCCGCGGGGGCGCGAAGATAAGCTCGCTTCGCGCGTCGTGGTCTCGGCGAGAGCGGCTGCCCTGTTCCAAGGAGGCGGCGCGAGGGCGCGAAGACAATCGTGGGGCGCGGGTTCGCGAAATCGGGTGACCTGGCTCAGCATTTTTGGCCTCTTCGAAGCCCAGTCTGGAGTCGTGTCAAGATGTGGCCCGGGGTTGTAATCAAGGCGGTCCCTCGGGGCAACCCTCGGGTCATTTGGATCTTCCGATCTCATCGGGGGGGGGGCTGTGTGTCTGTTGAGGTCGAATCCGACCTCAAGATCTGCGTGCTTTTCGAGGTCGAGCTCGGCTTGAAGGAGCACGCGGCTCTCCTCGACCCATGAACCCACTGGGGCCTCATTGTAACCATCCGTAGCAGCTCGCTTCGTGCGTCGCGGCCATTTTCGGCCGCAGAGCCAGGCTTCTCAAGGGGGCCGTGCGAAGCATCGTGGCTGCGGGAATACGGGCCCACTGTAGTTAGCGAGGGCTCGTGGCGCGGGGGCGTGAATCCGTGCAGATGCTCTGCTGCGGTTCGCGGTTGCGGGAGTGCTTGGTCCATCGCGTGTTATCAGTGGCCGTGCGTGGTTTTGGGAGGGCAGAGTTGTGAGGGATCGCAGCCGTGGAAGCCGTCATCCGATAGTTTGTAGAGTGTTCGTAGTCATGCGACCGCGGATCCATGGCTTGACGGCAAGCGTGAATCGAATTATTGCCAGATTTTTGGACTACCCATGGACGACTGGAGGTGGCTCGGAAGCTCTTCAATTATGACCCCCGAGGAGCTAGAGTCATCGAATTGGAGGCCTTTCTGGTGCGACCCTGATGGGTTTTCTGGACTTCGTTGCACATTGGGTTGGCCCCAGATGCGTGGCCAGGACAGGGGCGGCTTTTGATACTCCGTGGTGTTGCTCTGCTGGCGTGTACTTCGGAGTCAGACTCGGGCACAGTTCTTCGTTGCTAAGCTATTCCTCCTCCGGTCGTCGGGTGGACCAAAGGACGCGCAGTAAGCGTCGAAGAAACTCTATGACTCCGCGCACGTCGCTGGGATCCAAAAGTTAATTGCAGCAGGTCTTTCTGATCTCCAGAATCGCCCCTTTATTCCTCATTGGCAACTTGCGGCGCGAGTTCCCTTGGCGCGCTTAGAATTTAAGCGCGCACGAAGCGCGCGTGGTTCTATTGTGAAATATATCAAGCATATGCAGGTAACACTCCGACCTGAGTCACTTGTGTGGAGTGTTGTGGCCACGCTTGTGACCGTGGGGCCTACGAAATGCTAAGTTTTCCCTTTCGGGCCTCTTGGGGGCGTGCATGGCGGCGCAAAGTATACCACGAGGCCTCCCACAGCGGCGCCGAGAGAGGAGAAATAGACCTCTGCTGCACGCCGCGAGAAAGGAGCCCAGGGGAACCGGGCTTGCGTCTTGCCCCATGGGAGAATGTGGGCGTGAACGCCGCAAGAAATGATAAGAGCATCATCGGGCGAAGAGAACTATGCACATGCACCGATCCTGGCAAGGCCCATCCTTGACCCAGGATCGGTGCATATGCCTTCCTGGCCAAGGTAGGAGGGCGTATGCACCGATCCTGGGCTCAGGATGGGCCTGGCCAGAATCGGTGCATGTGCATAGTTCTTTTTCCTCTAAGTGGTGGCTTTTGTGCTGGCGCTCGGCTTTGGTCGGCGTGCCGACCGCGGGGAGTCGTGGTGCCGTCGGGGGCCGCCCCCGGAGCCCTCCCTGCGGTCGGGGTCGGCGGGCCGCCCGCACTCCGTCCGCTCCTTGGCCCCCCCCGCGCGAGGTGCTGGCAGACAGCACCGACTCTCCGGTCGACCGGGCGGCGGAGAGAGAGGCTCCGCCGGAGGTGCGGGGAGGGGGCAGTCAGCAAGGAGGAGGAGGAGGAGGAGGAGGAGGAGGAGGAGGAGGAGGAGGAGGAGGAGGATGAGGATGAGAAGGAGCAGGATGAGGAGGAGGAGGAGGAGGAGGTGGAGAAAGAGGCTTCGACAAGGAGGATGAGGAGGAGGAGGAGGAGGAGGAGGAGGAGGAGGAGGAGGAGGAGGATGAGGAGGAGGAGGAGGCACAGTCAGTCGGGAGGAGCAATCGGATGCACCGCCGACTTTCCCCGCCGGGGCCCCGTCTCTCCTGAGGCGGTGGCGCGTAGCGGGTGCACTGGGGGAGGTTGGGTTTTCTGACTTCGCTAGAAGATGGGAGGAGGAATTCGGGACGTGGGGGAGAGTTGTCCGCTTCTCGGGTGTTCCCCTTAGCAGTCAGCATTCTCTTGTGGCTGAGGGCCTTCTCTGGTCTTCGGCACACTAGGGTGTCCTCGGGAATTGGCCCTCCTTCACAAACCCTTACTCCAGATCTTGCACGCCTATGCCTGGGTAATTCTCGAAAACGCCTACGGCGAGCCACCGCCTCCCCCTGCCTTTTTGGATACACCAGTGTTTTCAGAAACGTCCAGCGAAATTGTGGCCACGCGAATTGGGTGCATGTTCTCGCAACCGTTCGGGAAACCACTGGGGGAGCAGTAGGCAGGGGCACTCTTAGGCCATCTTGGAGCTGTCTTGGGTTTTTTTTTCTCTGTCATTTGGGGCCTTTTTGGGTGCCTCCTGCGGGAAGAAGCTTGAAACTCGGAAATCGCCGCCAAACCCGAAAACAGGGAGGGGGGACCCCGAAACCCGCGGAGGGGCGAAACCCGAGAATTCGGTGGGTGCACACCCGAAATCACGAGAAGGGGTAAGCCCGAAGCCGCAGGAAGGTCTGATCCGAAGGCTGGGGTGGCTCGGCTTGTGCGCGTGGGAGGTCCGAGGCGACCGGGCCAGGAGAGGACGCGTGTTCCGTAGGGGGCGGTCGGTGCAGCGGGGGCGGCACAGGACGCGCTGCATCTCTACGCTCGGGGCCGTCACGCAGACTGCCCGGGGCGAAGTACCCATCCCAGGGAATGGCTTCAGACCTCAAGGGGTCGACGCTGTGACCAAGTCGGGAAGATTAACATATCGTTTTCTCTCCCGAGCCGCGCCCAGCCGTGGCGACGAGGGGGGCCCCCCGATGGCGCACTGCCGTCGCCCGAACTCGCTGGTCCTCTCCCCGGCCGTGTGGCCAAGAGAGACGCAGGCCTAGGGGTTGACACCAACACCAAGATCGGCGGTGTCCCTCCACCGAGGGAAGAAGATCCCGACCTCGGTGATGGTCGTAATATTCTGGCTTCCAAGGTGACCGAAATATTACCACCAGCACCGAAATCTAGGATCATCGTCCCCCTGTGGAGGCCCCCCCCCCTGTGTTGGTGTTGGTGCCAATTTCCAGGCCTCCAAGAGAGACGCCGATTGGCGCTGGACTCGCGGACCCCGAGATCCGGGCGCTGCCATCCTTTCGCGCAGGGCGTGCGCCGGGTCTCCGGCCCTGGGGGCCATCGCAGGTCGATCGGGCTCGCAGCGCGGCGGAAAGAGTGGGCTTGGGGCCAGTGGTCGTGAGGCTTTCGCGATACTGCGCCCTCTCGTGGAGTCGGATCTCGGGCCGGGACTCGCGGAGGACGGAGGAAGGGAGGGAGGAGGCAGGAGGCAGGAGGCAGGGGGAAGGACTCGCGAGACGAGGCAGGGGCCAGGATAAGCAGGGAATAGGGAAAGGGAGGCCGGAGGACAGGAGGGTGGGAGGCGTGCTCTACGGCTGCGATCGGTGCTACACGACGTTCGAGCGGCGCATCCAGCAGGACATGCCGTGGCAGGATTGCGTCGAGAGGTGCCGCGCAGACCCGTCCTTCAACGAGGACTTCGAGAAGCTCATCGAGGCAGACCGCCAGCTTACGGAGGCGCTCTCCTCGGCGCAGTCGGAGAACGGCTCGGTCGAGGTCGACGTCTTCTACGGCCAGGAGATCTTCAAGGTGAGCGTCCAGCTCGCGCAGCAGCAGTGGGGATCGCGGGGATCGTGGGGATCGCTCCAGAGTTCGCCAAGGTGGAGGCAGAGTTCGCCAAGGTGGAGGAGACTCGGGTGCCGAGCAGCACCCAGTCTGGGGCATCCAGCACGGGCGTCGTCGCGCAGCACCCGGACAAGCCGTGCGCGGAGATTAAGAACTACACCCGCACAGGGGTCAAGATGTTTACCGTGAAGATTCACGCATCGCAGGTCGCCAAGGCTGGCGGGCACATGGAGGTCTTCAGGAAGGAGACCACGAGGGTCAGGCCATTGCTTTGGAAAATGCCACCCTCGAGCCAGTCCGGTGGTTCAAGAGAGTGAATGAGTATCGCGCAAATTAGTTGCATGCCTCTTCTTGTGCACTTGGGTCCCAGGGTAGCTTCGTGGAGCTTTGTCCCTCTCGAAAGAAAGAAGAAAGGGTCAGGCAGAAGCAGGCCACTGAGAAGGCCCGCGATGCGGGGCTCGTGCAGATGGGCGCTCGGCCCACTGGCCCCCCCCTCCGGAGGGCGGCCCTCGCTGGCCCTCAGCGCGGGCGGCCACCGCTCTGGAGGCGCGGCGGCCGACGCGGGGGCCCTGGCCGAGGCATCGGGCCACGCAGCTATTACTATCAAAACACTTGGAGGAACCGAGGTTGTATAAAAACAGAAAAACGTATTTTTTCGAGTTTTTCGTTTCTCGCCTCAGAAGCTTTCTCCATGTGTTCCGACGATCGCTGTGCAAGAACAGAGCTCTACGAGGTTCCCGGCGGTCCACGCGGTGCCGAGCGGCGGTGGGGGCGGGGGCGCCAGTGCAGCGAGTGGCCTTGCAGACCCTCTGCCTGGGCTTCCCATGGCGGGGCCGGCATCGGCTCCGCCATTCCGGAGGCGGCCGAGCGGGGTGTTGACGGGCATGGAGTCGCCGCCTGCACGGTCGGGTGCAGGAGCTCGTGACCGTTTGAGGTCGCCCACGATGAGCCCGCCCAATTCGACTCGCACCCAGGGCCGCAGGACCACTCTGGAGGCAGCGGGCTCGGCCGCGATTCACGATGCGTTGAAGCAAGACGTAGTCATCAGCCAGACTTTGGACGGCCTGCCCAATGGGGGACAGGGTGGACTTCCTGAAGCGGTTCAAACCTACGTTCCCGAGCAACGCGATCATGGCCGACGGCTTGTACAAGAAGGCCGAGGCAGCGTCGACGCTAGTGACCAACATTGGCCAAATAGGGTGGGAGCAGATCAGCACTCACCTCAAGGATCTGTCAAACAAGGACGTCTTGGAATCGCTCAGCTTCTCGTCGGAACTCCTGAGGAAGTACCTGAGGTTGGCCGATCCTGAAGTCGACGCAAAAGCGGAGGCCCTCCTGCCATGGCACCCTAACGCCGATGCCATTAGCATGTTCGAGCCCACCCTGGCGAGAATGAAGAGGGACGTCGACGCGCCGATCATGGTGTCGCGCGAGATCCTGCTGGACTGCGTCGCGCTACCTGCCGTGGCGGACAATTCCAAGGTCGAGTACCTTCGGGACTTCGGCCGCTCCTTGGTCCAAGTTTTCTCGCGAGTGGAGCCGACCCAGAGCACCAGCGTGAAGAAGGATTGCCGCGTCGTGACGGGCGTGGGCCTACTGCTGCACCGCATGCCGAATATGGGCCCCCAGTCGTTTGCCGAGTGCAACCCGCAGATGCCCTTGTTAATTGACCTTCTCACTGGGGCCACCGCTGGTAAAAAAAGGCACCCGCTATCTGAGTCGCTCGGCAAAAAAAAGAACCCTGGGCCGATGCACGAGCAGTGTTCCGCGGGGCCGCAGCGACGGACATCAAGGCCGCCCCGAAGATTGCGGAGATGGTCATGACCTTGTATAGCGCGGACCTTGACGAGGATGGCATGACAGCAATAGCCGCGGCAATCGCGTCCATCAGCCAGTGGAGGAAGACGTGTCGGGGGAAGGCGGCCTCGACGATGAGTGCAGAACAGGCGCTCCAGGAGACGATGGCGCGTCTGACCAAAACGCTCGTGGAGCAGGACCCCGAGGTCGTGGACGCGTCCATCATGGACGCGATGGAGAAGCACATGCAGCGCTACCCCGAGATCGCCAACTTCGCGCTGGGTCAGGAGGGGTGCAAGCTGGGCTCCTCCTACAGCGACCTCCTACGCGACGCATCGGCGTCGAAGATGAAAGGAAGGAGTCGACGCTCATCATCGCAGTCAAGGCCGACGCTCCCCCTGCTCACGACCACCGTCGACAGTAACAAGGCCGCCCGGCGTGAGACCATGCCAGCGCGCGGGGAGCTCGCCAAGGCGGTCTGCCGGCTCGTCAACACAATTCCGATCCTGATGGTGGCTCATGTTGGTGCGGCTTTGGAGAACGGTGACATGAGTGAATTGTTTACCAATCGTTCGATCTACACCGCGTTGCCACCTTGTTAAAGGATGCGGTCGGCGATGGTCCCGGATTCACTTCGATGAAGCGCAGCGCCCAGCTCAGGATCGGCGATGCCGAGAACTACTACCAAGCAGCGAAGCAGCCCAACAACTTCATGACGGTGAGTGGTGCCCAGGACTCACTTGATACCTCGATCAAAGATGCCTTCGACCAGCTGGAGTCAGCGTTGATCGCGATGTCCAGCATGAATTCGCACGGGCAGGGCCAGGTGCTCACAAAGTACGGCGGCGACGCGTTTGAGGTGTTCTCCTGCAAGCTCGCTGACTGGGTTCCCACCGCCGAGAAGGCCATGACGTGTTGCAAGACCATGGCCAGGGACACGGCGTTCTCAGACGCCGACCAGATCGTTGACGAGCTGAAGGCCATCGCGGGCGGCGTGCAGGACGGGTCCCGCGACTTGGACGGCTGCAACGGCAGCGACGACTCCAGCGAGTTCGACTCGCATGTGAAAGCGACCTTAGACATGCAGTTCGGCATCGTGAACAGGGTCAAGAGGCCACCGGAAGACACTCATTATCAAGCAAGAAGCCTACCTCATGGTCTGCGTGGACTTGCAGGCCGACGCTTCCGAGAAGGCAGACGGGGCCGGGCGCTGGGGCACGATCTGCACCGAGGCAAGCGCCGCGCTCGCGACGGCCCCCCCTCGCCCAGGTGGTCAAGGACAAGACGGCGAATGCCAGTCGCGTGGTTCAGCGGAACATCGACGCCACGACGGCGAGGGGAGTGTCCGTCGACGACGTGCCGAAGGCCCTCTGGACAGAGGTCCAGCGTAAGTTCGCCGCCCAAAGAGCTAGCCGCGCTCGCCCGCGCGCCCTGCCCTGGCCCAGAAGGGGAGTAGGAAGGGCGGAAAGGACCGATGGGGGCGACGAGGGGGAGGGGTCGCAGGAGGGGGGCGGGAGGGGTACGAAGGGAAACGGGAAGGAATGGAGAGAGGAATGAGGAGCAAATACAACGAACGCAGAGCGCTGGACGCAGAGGCTGCCGCCGAGGAGCGCAGCCCTCCCCGCCTCTGTCACCGCCGCCGTTGCCATCGCCGTGCTTTCCGTTCCCCCCTCTCGCCCCCCCCCCGTCCTTTCCCCCTGCGCCTCCTCCCTGTCCTCCCTCTCGTCCTCCTCCCTCTTCCCCTCCTCCCTTCCTCCTCCCCCCTCCCCCCCGCCTCCTCCTTATCCTCCTTTTCCCCCTCCTCCTCGCCGTTGTCAGGTTATGCTGCTGCGTACCGTGCTGAATTGCACGAGTGCTTTGGCCCAGATGGGCGCGGTCTCGGGCGCACCCCATCTGGGGAGCCCCCAAAAAACATCGCATACGATGGCTGATTTGAAGGCCCTTCGGGCCTGGAGAAAAAGGTCGATGCTTGTTCTAAGAGCTCTGAGAGCCCCCCGACAGGGCGACCACCCGGATCTTGCACCTAGGTCGGCGCCACCAAAGCTGATGGCATATTCCGACCACCAAACACCATCAACCAGACCATCGCCGCACAGACTGGCACATAAAACCCTCAATTCTAGAGCTCGGGCTTTTTTATTTTCGTCGTTCTCGTTCCTTTGTTCATCGTGTCCCCCCCCTGGCCATCCTGGCCTTGCCCTGGACAGCCTTCCCCAGCTCCCCTCGCTCCCCCCTGGTCTCCCCAACCCGCTCCCTTGACCTAGCCGCCCTCGCTCTCCACCCTGGCCCCCCGTTCGCCCCCCTCCCCCCCCGGCCTCTTTATTTTCGTCGTCGTCGTTCGTTCGTTCGTTCGTTCGTCGTTCGTCGTCGTCGTCGTCGTCGTCGTCGTCGTCGTCGTCGTTCGTTCGTCGTTCGTTCTCCCCCTGGCCTCCTTGGCCTTGCCCTGGACCCAGCCCTCCCCCCTGCCTTCGCCCTGGACCCAGCACCCCTCGCCTTTCCCCCCTGGCTTCCCTGGCCCCGCCCTGGCCTCCCTGGCCTGGCCCTGGACCCAGCCTTCCCCGCTGCCCTTGCCCTGGGCCCAGCACCCCTCGCTCTCGCCCCCCTGGCCTGCCTGGCCCACTCGTCCGTCCTCTCCCCTGGCCCCCCTGCATTTGCCCGCTGCGTTCTAGAGCTATGTTTATTTTCTCGCACAGCTGTGTTTTGGAGCTCGACCCTCTTCATTTTCGTTCGTCGTTCGTTCGTCGTTCGCTGCTCGGCCTCCCCTCGCCGCGGAAGGAAACTCCTGGAGGAAGGAGGCGAAAGCCTCATGTCCCTCGCAGCTCCTTGGTACAAGAGCTAGGGCACGCGTGCCACGTGTTTCCGACGTTTTACTTACTTGCTTCCAGAGCTCCATAGGACAAGTGATCGGTCCTCCGTCATCCCCATCGCCGCCCCCCCCATCATCGCCGCCCCCCCCCCTGGAGGCCCACCCCCGCCACCGCCCCCTCCGCCAGCTGAGCCGACGGAGGGATTTGGTGGCCGAGAATGGACTTACGAGGCAGTGGGCAATTTACGCAGGGATGTCGGAATATTTTAATTTGTTCCCTCGCCTGCTCTGATTGCGCGTTTTCTATTGTTACCGAGTCCGGCTGTTTAGCCGCGTTCGCGATTGTATCGTTATGTCCGGCTTTCTCTCATTTTTCGCGTTCCTTACGTAAGTTCATCAATATCACCTTGTGGTTTTCGATACGATCAGTCACTCGCTTTTGCGCTTCCCATTGTTGCGAACGCCAGCGCTCGTCTTCCTGTCGCATCTGCCTCTGCCTCGGTGTTGTTTCGAGCGCAATATCTGAAGCGTTTCCCTTCAGGATCCAAGTGGTCATTGCATCGCGGCGTAGAACATTGGATGCACTCTAACATACTGGGGTTACTGCAAACATGGCATGTCACTTGATTACCCGAAGCCGTCGCGACACGTAGCTGTGGTGTTATTGCAGGAGCGTGGTGGGAGGAGGTTCCCGGCCCCTGAAGCTGAGCCTCAGACACCGTCCCGCTCGTCCTACCATTTCCTGAATGAGACGAGCTGCCATGTGTCGTTAGGCAGCCAGGGTAACGATGGGGTCAAACTTGGCTGCGCGACAGGACTCATGAAGCATTCTTCAATTATTGCGCGCTTCCTTCTGGCGCGTGAGATCGTCGCTTGCCAGCTGCAGCTCTGTGTTTGCTTGCTCTGCGCGGTTGGCAGACTGGTGTTCTCGCATGCTCATCTGAATCGCCATCGATCTGGCTTCTTACGTAGTATGCTGCGCCATGGAAACAGCCTGGGTTTCTCTGTCTTGCAGCACATGTTCTGCCGATATGTGAGATTTTCAAACAATTTGTTCAGGTTCAGCCATATGCACCCTCTGCTGCATGTATGCCTCCTTCGCAGCCATTGCCTCTGTTACTCGGCGCTTTTGGTCTCGGAGTTTTAGCTCAGTTAGTTTTTCAAACTCCTTCTTGTGTTGCTCAGCTTCTGACAGAGACCTATGGGCTGCTTCCGAAGTAACTGCTTGATTCAACTGTGCCTGTCTGGCTGCTTGTTGAAAAAGGATTTCTCTTCGTTGTACAGTATACGAATGCGTTCGTCCTTTTTTCAGTCATGGTAGCCTGCGCCTTTGCAGTCAGCTGTTCATTCAATTCTTCCTCACTCATCGAAGTCATCTCTGCTCTTGACTGCTGCCATTCCAATCAATAATACAAGGTGATTTTATCTGTGTTATTTGATATCCAGGCATTCGGAACATGGCCAGTTGATCTTGCAATGTTGACACGTGTGTGAGCCTCCTGCGCAAACGGGCCGTTGACATGATCCTTCTGGCCAGCACATTTCTTCTCAGCAGTAGGATAACATCCGGGCAGTTTGGCCCAACATGCGTCTTTGATTGAAATGCCCGCCGAAGATGCCCCGCAATATTCTACGATGCTCCTCGAATTGGGACGCAGTGTAGATGTAAAGTGCGATCTTGACGTAGATCTCCTTCCTCTTCCGCTATAGCGGCGAGATAGAGTCGGTGCAGGCCTGCGGCTTTGATTTCCTACGGGAGGTCGAGCATCCTTGAATCAAAATTTTGTCTCTTCAGAAATCTCATTTGGGGAACGCTTATCCATTACTTTATCATCGGGTTTCTTATGTCGCTTTGGCCCAGGCGCTTCTCCTTTGCAATTTCTTGCATGGTCCACTTGATAAATTACGTGAACCGTGTTGCTTGTGATCGGTGGATTATCGAACTTGATTGTTATGTTTGTTATCATTGCTGATTAATCACGTCACATGCCATATCCCTTTTCTAAAGACTGAACGAATGTTGGATCCCTGTCCATAGTAGGAATAGGAGGGGCGTCGAGTAACGAGAAAACTTCCACAACGGGGACTGCCAAGCAAGTTGCTTGCAACAGGCTCTCTCACATGAGCATGAGTGGTTTCCTCATGAACAATCGTGTTACTAGTTTCGGATGATATCCAGTTATTCGCCAGAGAATCGCTACTCTTGGCGAACGTGGGATCCATTGATCTTGGTATATTATTGGTCCCAGAGCTCATGATGGATCCGTTAATTGGTGATATGGATATATGGGGCAAGGCAGATATGCAAAACTACGACGCGAACCCCTCGCCATATTTTTTCCCAAGCACACGCGCAGCTCGCGTGTCCCTGTTTGATCCTCTCGACTGCTGCGGGGGCGGCGGCGTCGGCAGCGGGCGGCGGCGCGGAGCGAGCGTGGAGAGGGCATTAACTACTACTAAATTTTGGGTCTCCCGCTTGCACCTAGAGCATTCGCCTCTTTTGGCCTTGTCGGGGCGCTGTTCGGGCGCTTTGTGGGGCCCTCCTGCCCCCCCACCAGAAGGGCGCCCAGCATCGCCAGAGGGCGCCCGAGAATTCTGTGAATCCAGGCTTGGGGCTCTTTAAGAGAATTTGCAGTCTTCAACCCGGAGAGGAGGCAAAAGGGCCTGACGACCGGCATCGTCTTGCCTATCCCAATCCCCGCTGGGGCATGGCGTCCCATCCCTGCCAGCCCACCCTCCTAGGCGGGCATCTATCCCCATCGTGGTGGGCAAATCTGCACGCTGCAAGCCAGGCCGAGGCCACGTCGGTCGAGGTACGGATAGGTTGAACGATGCTGTGATGGTATTCCGCGCAGTGCCTATGGCGCGGTGTCCGAGGCGGGAATTTATACACGAACACCGCCCGGAGGATCAATTTTCGGGGACCTCGCAGGCCGCGCATATGGATACACCTTAGGCGATGCTTAAGAAAACCTAAGTTTTCGGCCAGAGTCTCGATGATTCTTAATGTTTCAATGTAAATCCTAAGATTTGAATGGACATTCTGGGTTTTTATTTGAATTCTGAGACTCTCAATTTCTTAACCCATGATTTCTAAAGCATTTCGCAGGGTGTATATTCGGGCCCCTGGGGGCCAAAGTATATCCATATCCACCGCCCGCCGGGGCACGCCGCTCGTGCCCGGCGGCCTCGGGGGCCCGAGCCTCGGAGCCTACCGGTCAAGCGATCGTCTCGCAGACCTTCCCGGGGCCAGCCCAGCGGTCCCAGTCGAACTTTCAGCTCGACTCGAGTTCGATTCGGGCTCGACTCGAGTCGACGGACATTCGACGCAGCATCGGCTCACGAGTGGAGCGAGTGGCTCCAGGAAGCTGCCCACAACGAGCATCTAGCTTTGAGATCATGGGTTCTCCCACGCGGTGCCTGTGCCTCAGAGCCAGAAGCGCGGCTGCACCCGCCGAGCTCGATCCACACGCTCGCTCCCTCCCTTCTCCAGGGGAGGGGGCCGCGCCAGCCAAGTGCTCCCCCACTCCGGTCCGTGTTTCCAGATCGACGCTGCCACGACAACCCCGCCCCAAGCATCAGTGGGCATGGGCTCGTTCCCGTCGGTGTGGCCGCGGGGCCCGAAGGCCGGGCGGGCATCCCCCACTCCTTCCCCGCCTCCCTGGCAGCGCTTTGCCCCGAGACGTGGAATGATGGGCCTGTTTTCCACTACCACTACCATAAGTTAGAGGGAGAAGGAAGAGGAGGAGGAGGAGGAGGAGGAGAAGGAGGAGAGGAGGGAGAAGGAGGAGGAGGAGGACCCCCATCCCCCCCTCCTACTTATGGTAGTGGTAGTGGAAAACAGGCCCATCATGGAACACTGATCCGAGCGGTCCATATTTGCATTGCGGCGCGAGGTGCTGTGCTCGAGCGGAGAACTCTCTCTCTCTCATGGGTTTCATGCACCGGCCGCTCGTTTATTCAAAGTTGGGTGCTTCCACCGTGGGCGACGGCGAGATGAGCCCGAACGTACGAGTGTCCCGTGTCCCCTCTCTCTCGCTCTCTCCCTCTTCCTCTCTCTCTCTCTTGTTCTCAGTCTCTTCTCTCTTTCTCTCCCCGCGTTCCACCCAACCCCCTCGTGTATCTGTTCTCGTATCTCGTGCAATCACGTATGTGCGCCGACAGCACGATATGCAGTGTATCCACGATGCCATACCCTCACCAGGCTATTCTTGGCTAGGTGCAGACGCAACGACACGAGCTGTTTCGTTCCCTGCAGCGTTTCTTAACACTGCCAGGCGCATGTGGTCGTGCCGATGACCCCAGAGTTCTTGCGGGAAGGCCATGGAGAGGAGGAAGCAGGAGGACGAGGAGAAGCAGGAGGGCGAGAGGGAGGGCGAGGAGGCCACGGCTAGCCGGGAGGATGTGGAGGGCGAGGAGGCTGTGGGGGACGAGGACCCGGAGGTTGGCCACAACGCCATGGAGTACGGTGAGGATCGGGAGGAGGAGATCAGCATCGTTTAACCGATCTTTATCCCGACACCCCGATCCTTACCATCCCACCACCCCAGTTGGGGATACACCCCTCAAATCCCAGAGGGAACAGCCTATATCCCCATCTGCGGGGGTAACTCGGCCAGTGGGGCCCAGGCCACGCCAGTGGGGTTAGGAACCAGTTCAACGATGCGCACGAGAAGGAGTAGGAAAAGCAGGAGGAGGGTGAGGAGTGTGTGGTGAAGTGCGAGGTTTGAAGCATGCATGTACGTATGCCCAAGCTGTTCCGCACATCTTTCCTTTCTTGGGCGTTCGGCGGGCCTCCTCGTTGTCACTGCCAGACGCAGCTCGAAAAGCGGGCCGTGACGGACCCAGGAGGTCCGCGAGCCGGCTTTGAGGTGAAGCAATGATACCGTGAGTGAAAATGAGGAGCGATTGCGGAGTGCCAGTGTGAATAGAAGATAAATCGTGGGTGTCTGTTGTTGCAGGATGTCAGCACTCCTCCAGGAGCAATAGTCACACATAACATGGTGGACACGCATCTGTCGTGGTGCTTACCTTAACGAATTCGATCATTATGATTGTTAGTATTGTTAGTACTATTATTTCTTTCCGTATCATCATTATCGATAACAATACCATTATGATACCAACGATGATGCTGATAATGATGATGATGATGTTGATGATGATGATGTAGATGATGATGATGATGATGATGATGATGATGATGATGATGATGATGAAGATGATGCTGATGATGCATATGATGATGGGGGTGCTGGTTGAAATGACGCTGATGATGACGATGCTGCTGATGATGATATTGACGTTGATGTTTATGATACTGCTGATGATACCGTTGATTATGTTGTTGTTGGTTTTGATGATGGCGATGGTGATGGTGATGATGATGATCCTGATGACAATGATAATGACGATGATGATGACGACGATGACAATTATGATGACGATGACGATGGTGATGCTGATACTGATGATGATGATGATGATGATGATGATGATGATGATGATGATGATGATGATGATGATGATGATGATGATTATTGTGCTGCCGCAGCTGATGATGTTGCTGATGATGTTGATGACCTTGATGGTGCTGATGGTGATGATGATACTGATGATGGCGTTGTTGTTTGTGTTGGTGATGGCGATTGTCTGTCGCTTCAGCGGGGTGCCCAGGGGAGGGGCCGACCGCTCCGACCCCCCACGGGCGGTGCTCGCTGGGCAATCTTGCCCTGCCCAATCCGTTCTGTCAGTCGCCGCCCCCTGGGGGTCTGGCCTTCGCGCGGACGGCTCCCCTGTGCTGCAGGGGTGGGGAAGGAAGGAGGGCGGGGCGGTCCTGGACGGCGTCGGGGTGCATGGCGATTCTGCCCTCGTTCCCTTCTCTTCCCCCCTTCTTAGGATGCAACTCCTGCATCGACGTTGGTGCATGCGTGGTCTAGACACAGTCTTATCCCCGACAACCGCAGTACATCTGGTTTGATCCCGCCTAATACAGGGCTTAATTTGGGTGGATTCAGCTCAATGGCCTTTCAGCCGGGCTAGAAATAGTAGCATTGCGAAGGCCTTACGGCCGGTGCCGCCGACCCTGAATGGCGACCACGACGACGACGAGCGCTCTTGGGGGCCTCTTAGGGGTAGTTTGTGGGCCTCTTGGGAAGCTCTTAGGGGCCGCTTGGAAGCCTCGTGGAGGCCTCTTGGGGCTTCCCGGGGGTCTCTTGGAGGGGGCCTGGGACGTCTTGGAGGCTTCTTGGACGGTCTTGGGGCTATCTTGGGCGTTTTCGGCCGAACTTTGGGCGACTCGGGGCCCTCTTGGGCCGTCTCGGGGGCCATCTTGGGCATTCGGACCTCATTTGGAGTGTTTTCGAGGTTTCTAGGCCGCCCGAGGAAAAACGAATCTGCCCCCCCACCCCCCCCAGGACCCCCCTCCGGGACCCCCCCCTGGACCCCCCCCAGGACCCCCCGCCCCCTCCTGGGGAAGGGATCAAAGGGAAGGGGCTTCCCTTCGACTCGATCACGACACTGCTAGATTTTTCTCTCGCTCACGAGCTTGAGAAGGAAGCTGCAGGGAAAGAAGACGACGGAGGCGACGACCGACGGAGACGACGACTCGAACAGCCAAGCCCCTCGCACACGCCGACAGGGTCGGCGGATTTGATCGTTCCCACGAAGACTTCGGAGGAGTTGCCTTTTATTCAGTCACTCCTCCCTCCCCCTTCCTTCTCCCCTCTTCGCTGCCCGCGGCCATGGCGTCCCGCAGCCAGGCCGTCCTGCTCGGCAGTCCCCAGTCGGCCTCCTTTTGAAGCTGGCCTGGAGTATTTGACTCGGGCAGAGGCGGGTGGCGCCGCGGCGGCACGTGCCGCTTCCGCCACCGCGTGCCCGAGCCAGCGTCCCAACTCTCGTGGAAGCGGGCCCGAAAAGCGTCGGCTCTTTCCTCCCTCCCCCCCCTCCTCCTCCTGCTCCTCCTCCTCCATGCAGCACCAAAGACCTCGGGCGTCTGGGGGGCGGGGCCAGGGTCGAGCGGGGTGGCCGCTCTTCAGATCCCGTCTCCCACTCGATTCCAGATTCATTGAACCATGCGAGGGTCTGTGGCAACGCCGCACCTCGCAGAGCTCTCTCCACTTGTCTCCTCGCGAGGCGGGAGGGCGAGCGGGGGAGGGTTGGCGCACGGCGATCTGCGAGCCGCCCCGCGGGGACCCCCGGCCCGCAGGCATGAACGCTGCCGCTGCTGGCATCCAGCCTTGGGACGACCGGCGGTTTAGAAGAGTGAAGCAGCTGCAGGCAGCGCGCCCAGAGGAGGAGAAGGAGGAGGAGGCGGAGGAGGAGGCATTGGAGGAGGAGGAGGAGGAGGAGGAGGAGGAGGAGGAGCAGGAGGAGCAGGAGGAGCAGGAGGAGCAGGAGCAGGAGCAGGAGCAGGAGCAGGAGGAGCAGGAGGAGGAGGAGGGCGAACGGAAAGGACAAAGGCTTCCTGGATGCCTCTCGGGGTGTCTTCGGGAACTTGTTGGAGGCCTCTTGAGGTTTCTTGGGGTCCCCTTGGCGGTCCTGGGTGCCTCTTGGAGCGTCGTTGGTGCCTTGGGGGAAGCCTCTTTGGGCCTCTTGGGAGCCTTTTGGGGGCCTGAGGGCTGATTTTGAGTTGTTGTCTTAATTCGCCATGCTCGGAGAAGAGGGTGGTGGGGCTGAGGAGGCGGAAAAGGAGAAGGAGGGAAAAGTGAGAGACAGGGACAGAGGGGAGAGAGGGAAAGAGATGGATAGAGAGAGAGAGAGAGAGAGACGGAGAGATGGAGGAAGGGAGAGTGGATCCCGTGCAGGGAGGATCAATACAGGCCCACCACACCACGGGGAAGTCCGTGCTGCCGTGCGCGGTGGCGACGTGGGGCCACGTCGACAGCAGATTCTCTGGGTTTTTGGACGAGCTCGCGGCGCCCGCCTCGCGGAGGCAGCGGGGCCGGGGCGTGCTGCCGTCCCGGCAGGGATGCCCGGCGGCGCGCGCCGATTCAGCCGGAGGCTCGCCGTGGCGGTCGCCCGGGCGTTGGCGCGGTGTCGCTGGCGGTTCGGCCATGTGGCCTAATGACTCGAGCTATGCAGAAGTGCAGCTCGACCGACGATAGCGGGACCCAGAGAGAGAGAGAGAGAGAGAGAAAGAGCGAGAGAGAGAGAGAGAGAGAGCGAGGACAAAGAGAGAAAGAGAGAAAGAGAGGGAGAGAGATACAAGTGTATTATCATGTCGACTTCTGCCATGTTGGCGATAGCGTTCTTGTTCCCTCCGCCGCCCGGTCGGCTGAACAGCGAGAACGGGCAGGACATCTTCACCAGTTTCTTGTTGATCAATGTTTGACCTAACAATCACGTTTTCCGACGATGCAGGCATACACCTGGCTACTCGGGCACAGTGGACAGACGAGGGTGTCCCCGAGCGTGGACATAATCAAGTCGATTTCAGTGCAGCTCTGATCCGTGTCAGTTGTGCGGAGTCTCAAAATGTGAATGGCATTCATCTTCCCACCGACCATCGCACGGTTACTGCTGACCTCCACTGTGATAGCGCTCGTATCTTGCGGTTTCATTGCCCAACCGATCGGAAACGGACGCCAGGCGATACTTGGGACAAGTCGTCGGCCGTTTGCAGCTGGGATTGGCAAGCTTGGGACGCACCGCGATGGCTTGGAGGGATCTGGCACATTCACACGCCAAGCGACAGTACCAACAACGCAAGGATGAGCATCTTCAAGCTCTGTTGGACGCTCATGCGAGAGGCACACTTGAGGAGAAAAAGGAACTGAATCGCACGAGCTACCAGTACCGCCAGAAGCGCAAACGGGAAACAGCTGACCGGACAATCCTAGTGGCTGCCATCATCGGCGCCCTGTCATCAGACTGCTGCAAGAACCTTCTTGTGAATTGGAGTAAGTTTTGTCAACAGTGAGTATGTTATCCTGCGAAGAAGCTTGGCTGTCATTTTCGATCGATCCACGACTTCGAAGACCGGTCGCAAGCAAACGCGGAGAAAAACACAATATCATTATTTTTTTTACCTATGGCGAGATCTGCGAATAGATGTGGTGCCTTGGTGGATTACGGAACACCGTCTGCGCGCAGCCATAGGACGACGCGCCGACGCTTGTCCTTCATTTGGACGGAGGAGCTACAGCAGATAGAACGTAATGGAAAAAGGCGTCGCAGAACACTGGCGAGAAATTCGCATCAAACGAACAACACAAGTCATCATTTAACGAGTTGGTTGTTGGCAGTTTGCGCGTTGAGGCGGAGGATCGGGTGAAGGATGGTGCATTTCTGGGGTTGCTAGTAGTTGACGCTTCCTTAGATCAGCTCGCCTAAAAGGCGGGTCGCGCGAAACCTGGCCATGATCATTTGCCCGGAGCTGTGTGGAGACACATGCCACATGTTCTCAAGCTCGAGATGCACAGACTACTTGTAGAGATAATCAACGACAGCAGCTTGAGCGATACAATCGTTGACGCGTGGGACAGCTTCCCACATTTAGGTATCAAAAAGACACGTTAGCCGAACAGTTTTAAGGTTTGTAGATGGCTGTGGAGTATGGACCATTTGTTTAAGCTGAATTGCGCTACAGTTCATATAGCTGCAGTGGCTCTTGTGCGACCTCTGCGGCGAGCCGACTGTCTTGGCGTGCTATTCGAGATCCTTTGTTTCGCAAGGAAATGGGGCATGCAGTTGATCTTAGGGGCCCCAGATCATGGCGGCATTCGATTCGGTGGAGCATAGGGACGCCGCGCGTTGCGACACACAGGTTCCGCTCCACACCAAACTCTAGTCATGGCCGGAGTTCTGCAAGGCAAGCGAGTTATCGTGATCATGCAAGGGATCGCCCAAGCGTCTGGGGTCAGCATGGGCAAAGCCTTCAAAACTGGCGGGCGCATTGATCCGGCGATTTTTTCCCGGATGTTCGACGATGTGTTTGATTTCAAGGAAGGCGAGTGGAACGCCGTGGGGAAGATTTCGCGTTGCCTGATGCTGGCGGGCGGCTTCCCTTGGCTACGCGGGTGGACGATGGCTCCTTACTTGCCCGGCTTTCGTGGAGCGCGCGCTCATGCCCCGAAGTTTGACGGCGGCGATCTCTCGAAAGCACGGTTGGGCATGGGAGTCAGCTCCTTGGCGATTGTATGTGATCGCGCCGCTTCGCCGGAAGGCGGGCTTTTCATCGCGCCGGCTGGGCGGCGGGGGAATCTGCAGCGCGAGAGCGGGTGCGACGGTGGTTTCGGGTGGGGAGCTGGGCCCCGCAGAGGATCCGCAGCAGGCCTCGCCGGGGCGCAGGCTCGCGAAATGCAAGCAACGCTTCCGCGAGGCTCGGCGCCATCTCGCCGGCAAGGCACCGGCGAGACTCTTGTTGCAGGCGCGGATGGCGAGGCCCGGAGTATCCGCCGTTTGCTCGTCTTCGATCGCGGACTGGTCCAGGGCGTTGCTCATGGAAGTGACGCGCAAGGAAAGGCAGCGCCTGCGACGGATGTTCCGGGTGGGGGGGGGGGCTAGCTGAAGAAGGGCAAATGCAGGGCAACTAGCGGACTTGGCTGAAATCGGGGCGCTGGCACAGGGTGTGCCGGTTCAGAAAACCGATGCGCGCGGTCATCCACGAGCGGTTGCGCGCGAGTTTATGAAGAGATCTCGCGGTGTAATTTCGTTTTCAGTCAGGCAGGAACGGGGCCCGCCTTGGTGGGGGGGGGCGCTTGTGGCGCGCGCTCGGGGATTGCGAGGGCGGGGCCAGCTGGGGAATCGCGTCGAGCAACGCAGCCTTCCAGAAGGATGCCGATGGTTCGTCGTAGCTGCGCGCGAGGCGCTGCAAGTGCCGCGCCCGCTAGGTATATCAGAGCGAGCTGGGGCAGAACAGCAGCCTTCGGATAATGAGCTGGCCCGCTGCGACCTCGGAGATTTACCTTCGCGCCCGGGCCCGCGCCGCGACGCGCTCATCTAACGTGGCGGCGCAGAGCGTCTACAGGTGGAGTTCAAGGTGGACAGTCAAACGGTCGCGGGATTGGCGAACTCGTCCACGGCAATCGCGCGCGCGAGCTGCGAGCAAGATGAGCAGAATTTTCGTTGGCATCTGGGGCAAATATATGCGCCACTGCGGGTGCGTGGCGGGGTGTTTGGGCCCTGTCGACCGGGGGGGGCGCGAATGGAACGTCGGCGGTGATCTCTCGGCAAAGCGCGCAATCACCGCGCGACGCAGTGGCGGCGCGCCGACGAAGGAATGAGTCCCGCGCCGCGCGGCCAGAGCAGTTGCGCTGCAGTTCTATTCAGATGGGGGATTCGCCCCGGTGTCGGGCGGGGGCTGCTGGGCGCAGATGATCGCGCGTGCCGAAGCAGAAAAGACAACGCAAAGGATCCGTGTTGGCTCTGTCTACAAGTATGCGGCGCAGGCGACCTCTGCATTCCTCTGATCGGGCGGGCCACCTCGCGCGCCTGGGAGGGGGCGGCGCGGGGCGGGGGTTCGGGGTTGCCGCCGCCGCCGGACGATGCTCGCCGCGGACTGGGACAAGGGGGCCTGCTTCCAAATGGGGATGACGACGGGGTGCCAGGGAAACCCTTGGGCGGCGTTAGGTCGAGCCGCGGTCGGGCCCCACCCGTGCGACCCCTTGCGGGTGCGCTTGCCGGGAGGGCGGTGCGCGCCGTTTTTTTTTTTTTTTTTTTTTTTTTTTTTTTTTTTTTTTTTTTTTTTTTTTTTTTTTTTTGTTTTGTTTTTTTGTTTTGTTTTGTGTTGTTTTGGTTTGGTTTGGTTTCTTTTGTGTGTGTGTTTGTGTGTTTGTGTGTTTGTGTGTTTGTGTTTGTGTTTTGTTTGTTTTCCTTGTTGTTTTCTTTCCGCGCGCGGCATGGCGCCGGCGCGCGCCCCTGGAACGCGGGACTCGGCCCCCGCTGGATGGCGTGGGCGCCCGAGAACCCTTCCGGCGCGCCCCGCGAGCGCTTTTCGTTTTTATGGGGTACGGGCGGGAGCGGAGCGGACCCTTCCTGGCCGCGTGGGCGGGGGTCCAAGGTGGGCTCATCCCACTGGCCGCCTGTGAAAAGGTGCCCCCTCTCTCCTTCTCCCCCCCGATAGAGAATGGGCCATCACAGATGGCCCATTCTCTACCAGGGGGATTTGCTTTTGTCATTGGGGCCCCCCTTAACAGTGCAATCCCACCCCTGCTTCTTACTTTTCCCCTTTATCCCGCAGCCGCGGGCTGGGGTCATTTTCCCTTCTTTCGCCCGCCCGCCCAATTAGCGGGGCGGACCGCGCCCTACTGAGACAACCTGGCCAGGGTCCAAGATGG